GAAGAAGGGGAAACAGGTAGTGGACTTCCCCCCCCCCTTCCCCAAAATCCTGTTGAACACGTGTGGTATGCAATTATGGGATAGTACAGCATACCTCATGAACCAATAACTGTCCAGCAATTGTAAACCGCGGTGTTCGAGGAATGGATTAAGAACTCTACCGAAATTGTGCCCAGTAAGGCCGATGTCAGACTTTGCGAATCGCGTAGCGATCGCGCGATTCGCTAGCGTCCGCGGTCGCGTTGCGGTACCAGCCAATTGAGTGATTCACTGGCCGCGACGCGACCGCAGACGCTAGCGAATCGCGCGATTCGCAAAGTCTGACATCGGCCTAAGGCAGCACGTAGAGGAGCATGCAATGCAGTCCGAATATTCACACAATCTGTTACAATCCATATCCTGTCTTATTTTTTAGTAAAAGCCTCCTTTCTTTTCCTACCGCATCGTGTACTGTAGCACTTTCTTCTGTATGTGCTATAAATTTCAGAGCTAGTAGGTTACTTAGCAATAAGATATCAAGCGGAAGTTACTTTCGTTTTTAAACTCACAACTCAGACAGAAGTGCGAACGATTCTTCCGTCCATAGGATAGACCCTAGAGGACAATCACAGATGTGGCTTTCTCGTGCACGGAAATCACCCGACAAGAGCGCTAGGCCTTGCAAAGTAAGCTGCTGCAGCTGCAACTTTTTTCTTTATCAGGCTGTTGTCTGGCGCTCTCTCATCTGTTGCGCTCTCTCGCCATACTCTCCTCTCCGCGCTTAGTCTCTCATTCCCTTAGCACAGCCGATTAGGAAGGTGAGTGAGCCCTTAACCTAAGCGTTTTCGACGGATTCTTTTCCTTTTTTCTTTACTGCCGGCCCATTTCGCACCAATACATTCACATTCGTGTGCAAGAGCCACACCAATGTGATCCTGGGGATGCCTTTAACAGTAAAACACGCACAGCACCCTTACGTTAGCAACTGGAGGAGGCCCCAGAAGCAGGGTCAACCGTCCGTTGGACAAAGTCCAACGCGACGACGAGAGTAATGCCGAGAGTGAACGTACGCACGGAGACACAGACGGCTCGCGGGTGGCGAGAGTGAATGCCGGCGCGGAGAGCGGTGAACATCGGTCCAACGTCGCTCCAATATCGGTCCAACGTAACGGTTGACCCTGCCCAGAGGTGCTTTCCGTGAGCGACAGCAGTAACGCAGACGTTACTTGAAATATCCATTATATTTGCATAGAAATAATCACATGGGCGGACCTCCGTTTGAATTTCTTGGAGGCCAACTTCAAAAAATGATTTCGAAATTTTTCATGTGGATTTCTTCACAATGATTCAGCTCGAACAGCGCTAAAGCTCCTAGATAAAGTCATTTCGATAAAGGTCATTGCAAGAGCACGAGTTGTACTTGGCGTGCCTTTAAGAACTGATGGCTTCTTCCTTCTTCCTATTTCGCTTGCTCGTAATTTTCGCACCCGGACCACCCGGCTCTCAAGGCGAAGGACGATCGTTGTAATTTCCACTGCAAGC